CTGAGGGGGCACAAGAGTAGAGGAAGGATCTTTATCTTCACTGTGAGAGTGGAGGCTCTCGTCCACCTGGCACAGAGCAAGTGCCTGGTAACCGTCCCTGTGTGATGGAATAGGGGCCAGGGGAAGGTGTGCCCTGTTAGATCAGGCCAGGTGTTAGCAGGGGAAGGGAACGAGTGTTGCCCCGTGATGGGAGAAGGGAGCCCGGGATCAGGAGCCCGGGAATATCACAGAACCCGCATGATGATGTGCCCATCGGAATAATCTGTCACCACCGAGCAGACAGCCTGCACTCTGTGACACACGTTCACAGTCCCCATCTCATTTCAGTCCCTGAATAAGCCACACGTGAGTGAGGCTCGGAGAGATCAAACAAACATCCCACCAAGATCGCACCGCAGGACTTAAACTCAGCCCGGCCGCTTTCTGGATGTGGTTCTCTAGGAAGGCCTGCTCATCCCAAAGCATCCAGTGCTTTCTAGATGGACTGCTGGGCCCAGGTCATACAGCTCCGCAAAGACTTGGGCTGACTCATGTCTCTCAGGCTCTTTCAGCACCAAGGACCAGCCCAAACTCAGGGCCTTCTCCCAAGCCCCACTCAGAGACCCTGAGGAGCACCAGCCAGCGAGAGCAATCAGTGTGAGGATGAAAACATGACATGGAGCAAGTGGGTGTGAACAGCCCTGGACAGGGGTCAGAACGCTGAATCGGGCTCACCTCTGACCAGCTGTGTGGTCTTGAGAAAAGCACTTTACCCCTCTGGGCTTCAGTTTCTTGATTAGGAAAATAGGGATGGTAGTTTTACCTTGGTCATGGGTAATGAAGAATAAATGTAAAAAGAGCTTTGGCAACTCTCAAACACCCCTGAGGGCACAGACTGAGTCACTATTATTATAAAAACCGTTAGTAATAAATACTCCTAGTGTTATAATCCTCCCACTTGTTAAGCCTGATAATGGGTGATTAGTAACAAACATGGACTCTAGAGACATGGTAAATATCTTGAGGCAAAGGTCCTGAGGCCCCGAGAAGGCTGGTGGGAGAGCAGAGACCAGGAGGGATGGAGGGGTGGGCCTCCCACCTGGGAGAAGACGTTAGCTGCGTAGGCGGCGGCTGTGGTTAGGGACGTGAAGAAGGTGGCCTTGCCTGCCGTCTGGATGGTGTGGATCATCCGCAGCTGTGGGTCTTCCAGATGGGTGGCCTGGCGGTAGGTGTTGATGAACACAAAGACATCGTCTACACCTGTGGGAAGGAGTCCCGAGCCAGGAGAACAAGCTCAGGATCATTCTGCTGTTTTAGGACCAGGCCCAACCCAGGCCAACCCGGAGTGAGGCCCTGAGAGATCAGGCTCCTAAAGAGTCCTGCTTCTCAGCTTGGAGCTTGTAAAGACTTGAGTGACTTGCTCCACCCACCAGGAGTCCAACCCCCAGGCACATGCTCCTTGGTTCCTTTCTTCCATATCTTAGCCTCCCACGGTTCCTAGCCTTCCCCGCCATCCCCACCTCTGCTCAGTATACCTTTCTCCTCTTTCTGTCCACCATATGCCAAAGATCTGCCAACTGCTCATATTCTAACCCACAGTCTCCAGGGTTTGAGGCCAGATACAGCTTTGTAGAGCCCCCATGGAAGCCAGGCTTTAGGTTCAGGGAGAAGGCCTCTTCTGGGGTAAGGGGAATGGTTCTCCTGTGGGAGGCCCACTGCCACCACACCAGAGGCAACTCACCAATGCCCACTATCACGAAGGCAGCTACCCCGTTGAGGATGCCCAAGTACTGGATGCCGAAGACCACGTGGTATAGGAAGAGGGCCACCAGGCAGCTGAGACCGATGCTGGCGATCCCAAAGAAGGACAGGAACACTGTGCAGGGTAAGAGGCACACAGAGATAAAGAGGGAGGACCCTCGGGGAACACAAGTCCCCTCAGTGTCTCTGACCTCAGCTGAGTCCTGCCCCATCCTCCACTCTGGGAACTTCCCACCACCCTGTGTGTTTCCAGCATAGGCAGAGGCTGACTCTCAGTTCTCCATGCCCAGAGGAGCCTGGCAAAAGGCCCACATGGCCAGTGAAGCCACCTCAGATAAGCTTGCCCATGAAGCCTCATCTTTGCATCTTTGTGCCTCAGATGAGAGAATTACAAACATTTTATATTTAATATATATAAAGGAGGTTAGAGGTTCCACAGGGGTAGGAACTGTGTCCAGTGGGTCACTGGGTACAAGATGCTACAATATTTGCTGCCTGGATGAACGAATGTCTCTGGAAGTATTATGATCTCTTGTTCATTTGGGCCCTGGAACACACCTACTGCACACAGACGGCAGTAAGATGAAGTTAGTGTCCATGCAGATGCAGGCAGAAAAGTAAGCTGGGACGAAAGGGCAGCTGACTTGGGAGTACACAACGTGCCATAGGATAACCATAAGGGAGAGTGCAGCACCCTCGACACTTCAGCACAGACTATCAATGGGAGAAAGATGACCAAAGGGCAAACGGTCAAACTGCTTGGGGCTCTTGGGTATAGCCCAACCTGCCTCTGGGCCTCCATCTGCCTACCCGAGGTTGGAGAAGGGTTTCTGACCACCCCCCTCTCCCCATTAGCTATGACACAAACCCAAGACTATTCTGGCATTCTTGCAAAGAAGTGTGGGAGGCCCACTGCCACCACACCAGAGGCAACTCACCAATGCCCACTATCACGAAGGCAGCTACCCCGTTGAGGATGCCCAAGTACTGGATGCCGAAGACCACGTGGTATAGGAAGAGGGCCACCAGGCAGCTGAGACCGATGCTGGCGATCCCAAAGAAGGACAGGAACACTGTGCAGGGTAAGAGGCACACAGAGATAAAGAGGGAGGACCCTCGGGGAACACAAGTCCCCTCAGTGTCTCTGACCTCAGCTGAGTCCTGCCCCATCCTCCACTCTGGGAACTTCCCACCACCCTGTGTGTTTCCAGCATAGGCAGAGGCTGACTCTCAGTTCTCCATGCCCAGAGGAGCCTGGCAAAAGGCCCACATGGCCAGTGAAGCCACCTCAGATAAGCTTGCCCATGAAGCCTCATCTTTGCATCTTTGTGCCTCAGATGAGAGAATTACAAACATTTTATATTTAATATATATATAAAGGAGGTTAGAGGTTCCACAGGGGTAGGAACTGTGTCCAGTGGGTCACTGGGTACAAGATGCTACAATATTTGCTGCCTGGATGAACGAATGTCTCTGGAAGTATTATGATCTCTTGTTCATTTGGGCCCTGGAACACACCTACTGCACACAGACGGCAGTAAGATGAAGTTAGTGTCCATGCAGATGCAGGCAGAAAAGTAAGCTGGGACGAAAGGGCAGCTGACTTGGGAGTACACAACGTGCCATAGGATAACCATAAGGGAGAGTGCAGCACCCTCGACACTTCAGCACAGACTATCAATGGGAGAAAGATGACCAAAGGGCAAACGGTCAAACTGCTTGGGGCTCTTGGGTATAGCCCAACCTGCCTCTGGGCCTCCATCTGCCTACCCGAGGTTGGAGAAGGGTTTCTGACCACCCCCCTCTCCCCATTAGCTATGACACAAACCCAAGACTATTCTGGCATTCTTGCAAAGAAGTGTTTGGTCAGATAGGGGCACTCTGAGAGGACAGAAGGGGGCTGGCTCCAGGCTGGCCTGCGGAAAGCCCTACCTGAGCAGGAGGTGAGGACATAGACGAGCGCAGCGATGCAGCTGCTGCTGATGAAGGCCAGGAGCATGTCATTGTTGAAGGTCCTACGCACCTCATAGTCAAAGAGGTCTGTCCCCCCATAGAGAACCTGGACTTTGCTGGGGAAAGGGTGGGGGGCATAGAAAGAGGAAAGATGGGAAGGGGATTAGAAATGGCTGTGAACAACAAGAGAAGCACAGAATTTTCCACATCATCACTAGCTTTTTACCTTGGCTGCACATTGAGATAATCTGGAGGCAAGGGCCAGGCAGTAGCACAGTGGTAATACAATGCTTTGCAAGGCTGGCCTACGTGGGAAAGCTCCAGGTTCACATCTGCAGACCTCTCTGAACATGTCAAGTGTGTGTGCGCCCATGATCCAGGACTGGCTGAGGGTGGATCACGGTGAGGACCCATTGGGAGTGCTTGTCTCTCTTTCTCTTTCTGTCTCTTTCATTCATGGAAAGAAGAAATAAATAAACTAAGAAAAAAAAAAGTCACTTATAGGCTTAAAAAAATCCTGATGTCCAGGCCAGACTCCAGGAAAATCAAATGAGAATTTCTGGGGGTGGGCTGAATCATCATTTTTTGTTTGTTTTAAAAACTAACATTTTAGGGAACCTGCAGGTTGCACAGTAGTTGACGCACTGGACTCTCACATGGCCAGCCACAGGTCAAGTCCCAAACCTGGTGGCTTGCTTTCTCACTTTCCTCCTCTGTCTCTCTGGTAACTAAGGAGTGAGACTCAGATAGGTTAAATATTCTACCTAAGACCACACAGAAGGCCTTAAACCCAGCTTCAGCTGCTTTCTGTATGTGATTCTCTAGGAAGGCCTGGATAATCCCAAAGTATCTAGTAGTTTCTAGAAGGACTACTTGGCCCAGGTCATATAGTTCCTAAAAGACTTGGACTGACTTATGTCTTCCAGGCTCTTTCAGCACCAAGGACCAGCTCAAACTCAGGGCCTTCTCCCCGATGATCCCTGAGAGATTAGAAACAATTAGAAAATCTTAAAAGCAACCTAAGGAAAAAAGACACATTTTGTATAAAAGAACAGAGATAAAGACAGTGGCAGATTTCTTATTAGAAACAATGAAAGCTAGAAAACAGTGGAGTAATGTCCTTTATATGCTGGGGTGAAAAAGGAACCCAGGATTCTATACCCAGCAAAAATATATTTCAAAAACAAAAGCAAAATAAAGACTTCTTCATAAATAGAAAAGCTGAAATAATCTCTGGTACACGTGCACTACAAGTCATGTTAAATGAAGTCCTTTGGGAAGAAGGAAACAGATAACACATGGAAATATGTATCTACACAAAAGAAATGGAAATGGTGAGGCACTTGCCCTATACCAAAATTTAAAAATAATAATGATAATAATAAATATAAATAAATAAATGGCTCTTTAAAAAATAAAAACTAACATTTAAAAAAATGTTTATTTCTTTCGTGAGTCAGAGCTGTAGGGAGATAGTACATCCATCAAAGTCCTGATGTCACAATCTAATCCCAATCTCATCCAGCCCTGTGTGCCCAGTATACTAAGGAAGGTCTTCAGACAAAAATCTGGAACCTCCCCATGTCAGCCTCATAGAGCATCATGTTTTATCTCTACAACACCTTCTGGATCCCATCATTGCTTTAAAAATTTCCCAGGTGATTCAACGAGGTTGAGAATCACTGCTCTGCACAAATAGTAATCAATTAAAATCAGATGCTATGCTATCTTTCAATTCTCAACTATCCATGCAAAATTGTAAATTCAAAGTGGCTCCTAGGTATTCCGTTTTACACTGCTATTCAGTATGTATTCAACATGAGTTAATTTTAATAAGAAAAACATAATCAGGCTGCTCAAATTGTGCTTTTTATTTATTTATTTTTTGAGAGGTTTTTGCTATAGGGCTCATGTGCTCGCCAGAAAGAGAGAGGCAGAGAAATAGAAAGCAAGAAATCACCCCCCAGGGGTAATAGCCACACTGCAATCCCTTCTTCTCCATTCTCCTCTCAGGATCTTGGGCATGCACGCACATGTGCCTGGTGTGAGTTTACGCCACCAGGTCTGGGACTTGAACCACGGTCGACTACATGAGAATCCAGTGACATAGCCATTACACCAACTGCTGGTCCCCAAACCGTGTTTCGAAAGACAAATGACAGCAACATCTGTTTCTGGCCAAGATGGAGAAACAAGATGAAGTCTAGATTTACCTTCCCACTGGAACCAATGAAAATATGAGAAAACATGAAATAAGACTTTGGATATCAGATAGATTATATCAAGAATAATGATTCCTGAGAGATTAGAAATAAAACAGGCACTATGGTTACCCTGGCTTATTGCCTTGAGAGAGTTTCTAGTCCTCAGTGTAGCCCAATAGATAGGCTATAGGATTCCCCAAAGAGGCTGAAAAACTGAAAACTATAAACTCACTAATCCAAGAAGTTGGACAATGAACTCTAAGGACAAAAGGCATGAATAAAACTGCAAACATGATTATCACAGTCAGTTGCTCAAAAGCAGTGACCCGGAGAAAATCTTAAAAGCAATCTGAGAAAAAGACACCTCATGTACAAAAGAACAAAGACAAAGATGGTGGCAGATTTCTCATTAGAAACGATGAAAGCTAGAAAACAGTGGAGTAACATCCCTTATATACTGAGGGGAAAGGGGAACCTAGAATTCTATAGTTAGCAAAAATATATTTAAAAAACAAAGGCAAGATGAAAACTTTTTCATAAATACAAAAGCTGAAATAATCTCTGGTACATGTGCACCACAAGCAATGTTAAAGGTAGTCCTTTGGAAGCAGAAAACAGATAAAACATGGAAATATGGATCTACACAAAGGAAATGGAAATGATAAGGATAAATTTTTGAAATCTTATTTAAATCTCCTTAAAAGACAACTGATCATTTAAACAAAAATAATAATGTAGTTTAGGTTTAAAAAATACATAAATATTAAATGACATTATGATAACAATAGCATGATGTAGCAGTAATATGTATGCTCTGCAATGCTGGAAGCCATATGGAAGATTGGGGTTTAGTTCCTGGGTCAGTCTGTACATGTCAGGCATACACATATGCCTGTGATCCTGGCTGGCTGGGAAGGCTTGGAGAAGGGTTACAGTGTAAGACCCTATTGAGAGTTCTCTCTCTCCTTCTTTCTTTCTCTTTAAAAAATGTGGGCCAACAAAAGTATAAAGGCCAGGAAGGGAGAAATGGTAGTATATTTTTGTAAAAGTTTTATACATGACATTATACAGAAAATGGTATAACATTATTCAAAGGCACACCTAAAACAACCACTAGAATAAAAGAAGTTTAATCAAAAAGCCATGAGAGGAGGGACCAGCAGTTAGCGTAATGGCTATATCGCTGAACTTCCTTGTAGTTGACCACGGTTCCAGTCCTGGACCCAATGGCTTAAACTCACACCGGGCACGTGTGCGGGCATGCCCAAAATCCCGAGAGAAGAATGGAGGAGAAGGGATTGCAGCGTGGCCATCCCCCTTGGGGGGGTAATTTCTCACTTTCTGTCTCTCTCTGTCTTTCTGGCGAGTGCACACGCCATATAGCAAAAACCTCTGAAAAAAAAAAAGCCATGAGAGGAGATAAAATGGAATCATAGAAAACAGTAAATTGGTCTAAAAGAAGGCATAAGAGAGGGAAAAAGGAATAGAGAACATATGGGATAAATAGAATGAAATAAGATAGACTTAAGTTTAGTCATAGCAAAAGGCAGAAAAAGGGGAATAGAACTCTCATGGAGCATATAGAATAAAATAAGATAGACTTAAGTCTAACCATATTAATAAATACATTAACTGTAAGTGGTTTAAACACACCAATTAAAAGACAGAGACTGTCAGATTAAAAACAAAAACAAAAAACAAGACCCAGCTGCTTACAAGAAACCTATTTTAAATATAAATTCATAAACAAGTTCAAAGAAAAAAACAAAGACATACCATACTAGTATGAAAGCTGGAGTGGTTATATTAATAACAAATGAAAAGAATTTCAGAACAAAGACTATTACCAAAGATAAGGAAGGTAATTTCAAAATGATAAAGGGGTCAATTCATCAAAAGAATAAAACAGTCCTAAGTGTTTTGGCATCTAATAACAGAGCTTTAAAATACATAAAGCAATAACTGATAGAACTGAAAAAAGAAATAAGCAAATATAATCATAACTGTACATTTCAATATCCCTCTCTCAACAACTGCTAGAACATTTACACAGATCAGTAAGGATATAAAAGACTTGAACAACACAATTAACCATAATTAACACTTATATTATACTTTTCAAGTACATAGGGAAATCTAGCAAGATAGACCATATATTAGATCATAAAATAAGACTCAATAAATTTGAAAGAACTTCAGTTATACAAAATATGTTCTATGTCTGCAATGGGAATAAATTAAAAGTCAGCAGCAAAAAATTATCTGGAAATCTCTCAAACATTTGGAAACTAAATAACACTTTTAAATAACACTTAGGGCCCAGTCACATGGTGCATGAAGTAGGGGTGCTGGTTCATGGTGCTGGAATATAAAATGGTAGAAATAATTTAGAAAACAGTTTGGCAGGCTTTTAAAAAGGTAAATATACATCTACCATATGATCCCGTCCTAGATATTATCTAAGACAAATGAAAAGTACATGTCCACGTAAATGCTGGTACATGAAATGTTCACAGCAGCATTATTTGTAATTGTCAAACCTGGAAACACCCCAATATCCATCAACAGATGAGTGGAAGAACACAATGTGGTATCTCTATAAAGTGGAATACTACTGAGCATTTAAAAGAAATAAACAACTGATACATGCAACATGAATTCAATTCAATATGGTTGGCCATATGAAAGAGTCTACTCAAAAGAGTACATACTATTGGGTTGTTGGAAGTCTTGAGGCATTTTTGCACAGAAAAACAGAAAATATGTCATGACTTTTCCGATGACCTAATATATGATGCTATGTATATAAAACTCTAGAAACTGAAAACCAATATATCATAGAGAACAAAGTAGTTGCCTAGGGTGGGGGTGAGGAGGCAGGATTGATATGAGTCAATTATCAAGGAGGCATG